ATAAAATACAATTCCCGTGAACAGAGTAGTTCAGCATGGATTGTCAGGTAATTTATTTCTGTTCCGGGACCGAAATGCCTTATTTTCATTCTTGGATGGAATTAATAATCAATAAAATAGATTATCATTTAGTTGCGATTATTTCAAACACTTAACTAACTAACATACATAAACATGAACAGAAATGTCCAGTTTGAATAATGACCTACGTAATTAATACTAATTACAGTTTTATTTTTCGTTTGGTTGACTCATCACATGTTTAATAACCATTTCTATCATGAAACACATTCTTATCAGAGTTTTTAAAACATTTCAATCTATAGCTTTAATGTTGAGAATGTAAGTCAAGTTCAGTTTTGTAACGATTAGGTTCAATTCCAAGATAGTTTTCATTATAAAATTACAGTGGTTGGAGAAAAACTAAAAACTATGGAAACGTCTAAATCGATGTTTTATTCCAGTTTAGGCATCCTGCAGTTTCTTAATGAGCCAAACTCAGTGTGTTCCGAATCTCACATTAAACTTGTAACATCAAGTTCTCATTTACTTTACTATGTATACACTTTCTTTCTCTCCAGTCGGTATGAATAATGTATTCCAAACAACCTCTTTTCCTATCTAAATATACCATTTTGTATTGATAAACGGTGTCTTATCTCTCAAGATCGTTTGAGTTTTGGAAGGAGTTTGAACTATCATGTTAATAACATACTTGATTGAATTTTGACCAAACTTTTCTGACAAATGTCCATCGTATTTGGGTTGCCCCGATATTGATATATAGTTACAGCTTCTTATTAAAGTTTAGTAGTGATATACTCGTCAACTGATATGCTTGAAACTATTACAAGTTAACCTTACTCGGTGAACCGGAGCGAAGCAATGATGCAGCGACGCAATAAGCTATTTTGATTCGACTGTCCCCGACCCTGATAACTATATCAAGAAGTCTTCATAAGGCGTAGAAAGTGTATTCTACAAGCATCCAGAAAATATGAGGCTGACAAACACACAAATCGAGCTTATTTATACATAATAGAAACTTCTTCGGGAAAGCCACGAAAATAGCGTACTAAAGTAATCCATCAACCAATGAAATTCAGGGATTTTCCGACAGGGAAATGTAAGCTGAAGGTCGACTAAGCAGCTTATGCGCAAAAACATAAAAAATCCAAAATTAGGACCTTTTTCAAGTGAGTTCTGGGGATCTAAAGTCTCTAACAAGTAGTAACTAGCAATATAAATAAAGACACGTGTTTTATCTTATTTAAGACTCATCTACTTGAATGATATGCACCCAAGTGTTGCCATTCACTCTGAGCGTTGTACTCAGTACTTTTTTTTAATATCAACCAAGTTACTGGGTTCAAACATTTTGAGTTTGGATATCAACATGTGAATTGAAGAAAATCCAACTGACGAGTTGTAAATAGGACAAAACTCATATCTAAGCCATTATTCAATTAGATTTATTATCAAGTGTTACAGATGGTTTAATTTACTTTCTTGCATGAATAGCGATAAAGAATATATCTCATCTCATTTAACGCAGCTAACAAATACGACTTAAGTTAGTAAGTCCCTTTTCAGGAAGTAGGCTTCATTTATTTTGTTTTTACTGCGTTGTCTTTGGTAACACATAAAATGTTTACAAAATAATGTTAAAATTAATTCACAAAGATATGTTGACTATATGTTAAATATTCTTAAATTATGCAAATTATGCTAAAGGTAATCTGGAAAATTGTTTAAATGTCAAGGTATATAAATGAGCGAAAATTTTATGTGATTAAAATGAAATGGCTAAAATAAGACTGTTGTGAGATCAGCATTTCAGTATTAGTCATACGCCAAGTCATCCCTCAAGGCTTAACAATAAATTGTTACAATAAAATACTCTTCAATCTGATAACTAGTTTTTTTTGTATTGAAAGAGATTGTGACAATAGTGGTTAGTAAATCCTCAAGACTAAGTCTACAATGTTAAAGTTGGCTTCATTGGCTTTACTGGGCACGCCCTAGCTGAAAGCTCTGGATTTTGCATTCTTACCAGATCACCGTTGAATACGCTATGCAGCTCATCTCCTCTCATCAATTAACAAGCTTAGTTCACTCACTGCTTGACGTACCAACCATCGTTCAAACATGCCTTAGATCCTCTTCATCTCTGAATTCCTTTTTGACTGGGTTTTGGTTATTCGCAATTTGAAAGATGTTATCGACAAAAGTGTTGTCAAACTGTAAACATCCATGATGACCTAATGACCATCAGTGTGTGATTAATCTCAAACCGTGTTTAAACAAAGTCCAGGTCTAATAGAATGATCCTTTCCAAACCACTTACGATCTCTAGAATACTAGCTTAAGATTACAACTCTAGAGCAGTGATCAAATATTCGTAAGACGGTTAAAAATTTTCTTTGTAAAGAATCATTAATCAGTAAAATAAACTCACAAACAGAATTAGTCAAAATTAAAAACCACAATTATAACAATAATCCATCTTACTGTACTATTCTCAGATTTGTATGTTTCGGGGCAACAGTTATTTTACATGTTTGTCATTCTTACCTCAATATCATCTGAACCACTCAAGTATTTAATGCACCAGATGTGTAAGTAGGTAAAATACGTTAGATAATTTCACTTATTCATTTGAACTACTTGTAAATCAAATAAGTAACGTGATAAATATTCAAAAATTAAGCTTTTGACTATAATGTACTCAGATCAATGAATTCTTCACAAATCTTTCTAGTAAGTCATAAAATCGTTCACTACAAATGATCACATTTACTGATCTCCTCGGCTTGGTATTAATTCAGTTCAAGACACTTTTTATTTTGCCTATTTTTAAAAATTAGGAGTGATTCCTACTTCAACGTGAAGAATTTCTAAGAACTTTAATTCTGTCATACAATGAATATTTGTCAAAATAGCTGAGGAGAGAAGCCAGTGCATTTTCGATTCGATATTGTACATTTTTCCACTAGTCCCAGTTATTTATGGGACTTCACCTAAGTTGTTAGAGTTTTCACGCACTCAACAAGTATAGATTGCATAGCACTTCGAATGAACGAAAATTGATAGAATATTAGATTTAAGTGATAGTTTCATTTATGCGTAAACTACTTCTGTCATTACTTATTAATTCATAATGTTTCTGTCTATATCTAAGTTCCTTTTATTGATATCTTGAGCTTCAGTAGAGGAGAAGATTTTGTAGTTGATGTGGAGGATTTTGCTGGCATTGAACTATTTGGTTTAGAGGAACAAAATGGAACACTTCTATTGTGATGTTTTTGGTGTTTGGATATTTATTTACTATTTATTTACTTGATCTGTGATTTCTTTTATCATTTTATATTCGCTGATGGACTCGACCAACTTCAATTTTCCTTTTGAATGTTGAATGACTTCAGTGATAAGATTCTGAAAATTTTCTGATCTTTTATGACCGTTCTGTCTAAGAATCCAACGCCTTCCCAGTAGAAATTTGTTCACACTTCATGGATCTCAAGGTTAGCTGATATATATATATATATATATATATATATATATATATATATCCAGCAACTATGTATACGAATCTACAGCTTAAATAAGAGATTTCGTCGATAAAAAACTTCTCTTAGTTGAATTATCTCTATTTTTATTCAGTGGTAAAATCATCCATTGTTGAGGATGTAAGTGCACAATAAACTAGATGAATTAGTCAGAGGTAGATCGTTGGATTGCAACTCAATGATCTAATTATATATTTCATATTAATACCAGGCTCACATACGTAGATGACCATTGACTAGTAAAATAATAAAATATAGCTCAGAAGTCTGTCAACATTGTTAAGAAAAAGTAAGAGAGTCTTACATAGTTGGAGATAATTAACAGGAAATCCTGGACTCAGGTTTCTTACCGTTTGGCACTCGTCAGAAAGTTGTACACGTACTATTTAAGGGGCTAATGCTTTCTTTGGGGTTCGAACCCACATCACCAAGCTTTACAGATAGAGACATTACCAATGAGTTATTCTGGCAGTGATTAACCTGAACTAAAGCAAATGTTTAAAAAGGAATGAAGTGGTGACCAATTTCATATCTGTCTAGTCCTTTATTGCTGATAGAATTCTGATCAAATATTGATGAAAATATGAAGATTTTATTGGATGAAATTTCAGAAATAATATCAGCTTTGTTCGAGTAGAAAATTAAGTAATTTAAATTTCTAGAAAAAAGAAATTCTCCCATATTTGTTACGATTTTATTCATACGTCTTAGTTTTTATTTTATCGAAATTTCCTATACTCTCATTCCTACTTTTCAGTACTTTTTTTAAAAAAAATTGTTGATCACTCAACTAATAAATATTTCAATCCAACTTCTACTTTGATAAATCAGCGAAGATCCACTTTGCAGAGACATTTATACACAAGTCAGTGTTCTGTGTTGATAAAATTGAAGACTAACCAAACTTATACATACAGTATTTAAATGATTTACATTGTTCCGCTAAGAGATAGAAATTTTTTTTATAAAATAAAATACTAACTGTCCTGCTTTTCAACCCATTACTGACAATTTTTCTCTCCTGAGGTTTATAATCATTGGAGAAATGAATTTTCCCTTACAATCTCATAGTTTTAGTGTCATTCAATTACGAGAATTCCAATTGGTTCATTCTTGAAAAGCTAAATAGAATTTTAACAGACTAACAAAAGTAGGAATCTCTTCGGTTAGAAGTAATAGAAAATTAAATCGTTACCATATGTATTCGATATTCTGTAGTAAGTATACTTTTATTAAACCCCTCTTTCGACTCTTTCTCACCATTCTCTCCTGATCATTTTTAACTATAGTCATTCAAAAGATGATGTATTATTAGTTAGATTTTATTTCACTTCACTTCTCCAGAATCATTCAGATATATTTAATATATAACAAAATTATACTTCTACACAAGATTGATTTTGATGAAATCTAATTGAAACTCATTTTCCAATGTCATTTAAAACCACTTTGAAATCTAATTATGGTAATCCTAATCACAGTATCGAAACGCAGACGAAAATCATCCATTTTTTCAATACATATAAACAGTTATTAGATGGATATACTCGTCAAATTGTCAATAAACTGCATAATAATACATCTATGAATAATAGTATTACTAACTGTAATAGTAAAACTAACAACCATATGAATTATAATTCATTTCAAACTATTCAAGCCATAACAAATTCAAAACTAAATACTCTGTGCTCTTTTAAGTCACCAACAATCAATTCATACAATAATTTAACATACAAACCATATTCATCAACAAGTAACCCTATAAATTCTACCATTAAACCACCTTTTTTGAATGAGTTTTGTTTAAAAACTAATGATACACAACACAAATCAAGTGATTTTATTAAAGCTTACTCTCAAACATTATCATCTTTTCCTTTATCTAATTGTAATTATTTTAAAACAAAACACTATCCATCATCTAATCTATGTCCAAAATTACCAATTTCAGGAGTGATGGATGGAAGAGTTCTTCAAAAAATTCAACCATCATCATCATCTACTATGTCTTTACCGACTAAACTATCGACATCAGCATTGACAACATCGACAAACACCACAACAACGTCATCATCAAATTCATCATCACCATCTCTGTCTGTAGATTCAATGGATATAACAACCAATATTTCTAAATATTTAACTGTACAAAAAATTTTAAAACGTTTAGCTAAATTACCAAATAATTTAGGACCATATATTTGTCGATTGTGCAATCAGCACTTTGAAAATGCACTCAAATTAGCTAATCATCGTTGTCCATTAATACTACATACTGATTATCGTTGTCCTGAATGTGATAAGGTAAAAAAAAAGAAATCATTGAAGTATGATTGAATTTAATTTTGTTCTATTCTAGCAGAATAATGACATGATTCGTAAAAATAATCTTCAGTAAATTTTTATTCTAGATTATCTTTTCGTCAATAGCATACACTTAATTATTAGTATTGGTGTAAAAGTTTTGTTTCATAATTGATCTAAATCAGTTTAAGAAGTCCACTGGTTGTACCGTTCACTACATCTACACACATACACATGTGTGGTTGGAAGCTGAATATATATCACTATAATCACTTATGAAATGAAACTAAAATGCAGTAGAAATGCTTTCGGTAATACGATGAAACTGCAGTAACAACTACCGATGATCCAGTCAACTAGGGAACAGTTTTAGTGCCTATTAAAGAAATGCACAACTATAAAACTTACATCGTGGTGATTTTCATACCACAAAAGATGTATTATTATCAATGTTCTGTCAGGTTTTGACCCCTGGAGAAAGTATCAAATGAATAAATATTGCTAACTGATGTTTTCTAGTGTGTAACTTAGATTCGTGGATGTGTGTTTATTATTTTCAGTAAGCTCTAACTACAGTTAAGTAGATTTAATGCCAAATTACTCAAACTTGGATAAAAGTTTTTACTTATTTATATAATAATCAGAATAGTCGTCATCATTTGTGACCAGCAGCACTTTTCACTCGCATCAACGACTGTCTAACTATCCACATAACCAAGAAATATAAACCTACTCGTTAGTTTATTATCATTTTGTATGTTTATGTAAGCATGAAAATGATTCACTCACTCATCTATATAAAGTAAGAAGATTAGAAACTTAGGCTTGAGGTACTCTACTTTTCATCTATTTACACAAGTATACGTTACTTTCAAACAGATACTCGTCGCTAATGTTGAGGTTCCTGAATACAACCTACTTTGCAATATCAGTAAAGAAATGATTCTAGGTTAAACATAGAATATTAAAAAACTGTTTGCACCAATTATGATGATGTCTGTTGCATGATACATAGTTTAACACCCTAATGATCGCAAAGATAATTATAATTAAGAACACTACAATACATACAAACTTTTTAAAAGTTCAAATTTACTCAATGTCACTCGTTACAAATTATCAGGAAAAGTAAACATAATATTTCTTAAAGAAATTGAAGCAAAGTCCTTCTGGTTTATGTAGAAGTACATCGGTATGATGTCTAAAAGTTTTCATCATATTGAAGCACAAATAATTTGAACCTCCGAATTTTTCAATATATATATATATATATATATAAATTGTTTTCACTACGCAAGCGGGTTATTACTACATAATTCTGATGAGTTCCAAATAAGACGATATAATTATTCTTCTTACTCTGTTATTCTGTAATATTTCAATTGATGCTAACTTGGGTTCAAAACTGTTATTTTAAAGCGTTACCATAAATCTTATTAAAGTCATTATTTAACAATTATATGTTTTACGAATTTTCGGGCGTTTATTGTGTGAAATAATGCACACATCGTTGCATTGATTTGATATAGCCTAGTACAGTCGCAAAGCTTATTCATAATCTATATTCATGGTTCCACATAAAATACCAGCAACCACTGAACAACCGAACATAAATAAGGAGAAGTCAAATCACGTAAGGTAGTAGTCATACTAGAAGCTAATTAGTGGGATTTGTTCAGAATTAAGAAGTGCACAAACATAACTTCGTTTACTAGTCAGTTAACAAACAGTGTTTATCTATTCGAATTGTTAAAAGCTCCAACTTTCAATTATGTATATTCAAATATATTATTAGTATACTTAAAGTAGTACAATCATAAGTGCAATCGCATTGCCCCAAATTAAAATGAACCTTGTTTTGGAAAATATCAAATGAAATGATCTATGATATTTAATCATCCATATATGCTTATTTTCCTTTTCATATTTATTAATTATATTAGGTATTCAGTTGTCCAGCTAATCTAGCAAGTCATAGACGTTGGCATAAACCAAAATCTGAAATTGATTGTGGTCAGGTACCTGTAGGAAATCATTCTTCCTTTCCGACGTCAACTAACCATAAATGTTTGGCAGAAAAAAAGTACTACAACTACAATGCTAAAGATTTAGCTACAAATTCAAAATTATTCAATAGAAGAGTACATTTAAACAAATTATCGAAGAGTGAATTCAACTCAATCGTACTTCATCAAAAACAAACAAATCAATATGATCAGTGTGTGTTCAATTCCAATAGTATAAAAAAACCAACTTTTACTGTTCAAGCAATTCTTGAAGATTCATGCAACAATAATGATCAAATTCAAAATACCATAACAAAAAACAATAATTTACCATTGAACTATGATGAAACTATTATCACTAATGAATCATCAAGATTAATTAGTTATACTGAATCAACTGAAGTAGATTTAAATTTCCAAACAAATAATTCATCTAACACCAATAATAATGATGTCAACAATTTTATTACAACCATAAGTTCAAATAACATGTATAGTGGTAAACAATGTTTAATTAATGCACAGAATTCATTACAATGTAATTATTGTAACACCTCATTATCAACTCGTAGTGAATTAGAAACTCATATGATTGAACATATTTTCAATAGATTAAAATCTAGCAGAATGAATTCATTAAATATTAAATAAATAGATTTATTTTGTGGAATATTCGATTTAACTTCTGAAATAACCTTTTAGTTTAAAGATTAAACTATTCAACTTTCATTCTAATACTGTATCAAGTTCAAACTCCACTCTATCTATTACCTAGTATTATCATCTAATCATCATTTCATGAAAAGTTAACTTTTTTCAATCAAAATTTAATAGACCAACATGCAATCAGTAAAATGGTAAACTTAATAATTCAGTTTTTCTTTTTATTTCTAAAATTTTTTGATGTATACCTAATCATTCGTTGATCGAATACTTGTTTCATAAAAATGTCACTAATAAAATTGTTTTTTTTTCATTTCTATCAGTTAAATCTCTTCTATTTTATCATTGCCCCTATCTCTCCCTCTCTCTCTCTCTCTCGCTTGCTTGTTGATGTTTACAAATCTTCGAATCTATCTTGGATTTTCTGTATGTTTGATGTTTTTCTTAATAAATAAACTTTAAAAAAAAATCAAATAATGCTCATTATGGATAACAAAAACGAATATACAGCAGCTAATCACAAAATAAAATATCAAAGAAACTTGTTACACAATTCAAACAATTTCAAGTGAATTTGTTTTCTATCGTTTGATTCAACCGACAGTCAAACAATGAGCATTATATATATGTACATACATACATATATGATGTTCTTTATTCAAACAAATACATATAAAAAACAGTCTACTTATATTATCCTATATTATCAAGACAGTCAATGAGTGCATCATGAGAAGGAAATGAGAATAATTCAAAACTTTCCGTAGGAAATGTTCGCGTTCCCTAATTTCGTTTGTTTTTATTTGGTTGGCATAAAAATGCTTCATTTTATTACCATTGAAAACAGGTAGTCAGTTAGCAAGAGAATAAAATTGTTGATTTTTTTTTATTTGAATTTCTTCTATTTATTTTGCTTGGCAAAATAAAATTTAAATCATTTTCTTATTTTTACAGTTGTAAAAATAAACCTCAGAAAAATTATGCTGGCTATTATTATTATTATTATTATTATTATTATTATAAAATATTAGTGAGCTATTTTCCCATAGCATTCAAATGACATGATTTCATTAAAAATTTCATTCATCATAAAAAAAACAAACTGCGCAATTTTATGATGAAATTTTATTTACTCATTTATTTTATTTATTTATTCATTCATTATCAGTAATTTTGTTCAATAAAATATTTTAATTGTCAGTACAAATCGGATGTATATATATATATATATATATATATATATATATATATAGACATTGAAAAGCAAGAAGAAAAATACCATGGAGGAAAGGTGAAAAACAAGTTTAAATGTCGGTTTAATGTTCAATTTTACTTAACTGACTGTTTATAGTGAATAATGTGTCGATTCGTGCGTTGTTGTACATGTGACTTGCTTTGAATGAAATGACTTGAAAATTGACGACACGTTCGTTTCGCTGATTGATAATAAATTTTCTTCTTGAAAAATTGAACATCTATAATAATTTATAAATGTCAATGTACAAGAGTATTGTACTTTATGTGAGGATACATGTCGCTAGAGCTTAAATGTGAACTCAAAAGCAATCAAAGTAGAGATTTAATTTCTATTTAGTTGTCGACAATATTCACACTTATATTTAAATATTAAGAGATTTCGGTTTCAACCTCATATACAAATTTATTGGTTAGTATTATTAAGAATTTTAGAACTATTATGAAACATTTCAACATTGTCTTATACAATTTAGAGATGAGAATCACTTTAGATATATGATTATATTGATTTGTAGTTATTAGAATTAAATTATATCAAAAAAAATATTGAAATTTCACTTTGTAAATTTCTGTTCAGTGGTTAGTTTATTTTAAGTATTATGATTATTCATGATAGTCTCAAAACTATACGATTTTATAAATTAAATTTATGAGGCACAACTAGGATATTGATTTTTAATAAAGATCATTGTCATTTTATTCTCCATATCAGTAAAGTAGGCAAATAAAGTCTATTAAATATAACGAATTGGAGACAGGACCATCGGTCTAGCCCCAATGGAAGGGTAATATATGCATCCTACTAAGGAGTTCCATACAAGGATGAAATAGATGTTCAGTGTTTAAAGGTTTTCAAGGATTGTTTAACTTAGATAGGTTCGTGATTCCGATAAAATTCATCAAACTCCATAACCCCGATACTGATAATAATTTACTGCACTTACTGATTTAACAACTTTATCTGATCATTTCACAGTTTTCTGCTTAAGTTCTTTTCAGGGAACTGTATGAAAAACAAAACAATCTTGTTATCCTTTTATGTTTTTTTTATTCTCTAAAATTACATGGTTTAATCACGAGGCTTCGATAATTGTTTTGATAATATTATCAGGATTTATTTCACGTGGAAATCGAGCACAGACACGAACCTGACTGAGAAGTTAGAATTCCAAATCGAGAGGATTCAATGCGTTTGAGGATTTGAATAAGTAATTCATTGGGTACAACTGGAAATTAATATGCACATCAGTATATACCCCATTATCTGATTTGTACTAGACCAGTTACATTACCAGAAGTCAACAAAATGAGCGAGACAACAGAAATACACAAAAATTATGCATATAAATATATTCAATTGTCTTAAATATTAGTGATTTCCGGTTAAAAAAATGAGGAAAATAATAATCATAAAATGAATGAAGTTGTCAGTCGGTTCAGCGTACAGAATCCCATTACTTAAAAATTAACCATGCTTTTAGATTCGAAGAAATAAAACCTTGCTGTTGATCTACTTCACGCAGTCACATAAGTGTCAACTCTATACTACAATACAGTCGATCATTAGAGTAGATTTTGGCGAAATTACTCAGTTTGTATCGAGTTTATTGAAATTGAAAATATAGATAATTCAGTATTCTGTAAACTAAGTTCTTACCACAAAAACTAAATTTCTTGGGTTTCATCCATAACAAGATTATGGGTATGCATTGCTAAAGATTTCAATATCAGGATGAAATATTTATCAAATGTTTTTTTGATTTTCGAGGTCATTATTCGAATTCCTCTTAACCTGATTTACAAATTATCTGGATTACCAAAGATTGTAGTATTTATCCATACCTATATAATATCAATATAAAACTTACTCAACATAACTAATATTTGTTTTGAAAGATAAAATGTCAACAAGTGAGAGAAATAAAAACTTTAGAAGAAAAAAAATTCTAACCGATCGTCAAATAGACGATAATATTTCATAAATAGATACCAAATGAAACAGAGAAAAAAAACCCAACGACTGAGTTAAAATCTCCTGCTTTGTTTACTCTTTGAGAATTGAGTATATTTAAAAGAAAAAAGATACAGGATAACACTAGTGTATTTATTTTATAGTTATGTTTTCTTAATGTATAATTCTTCATTGTGATTTCTTTATTTTACAGCACACTTGCCCATCCAGTCACAGACACACACACACACACACAACATCAAACGAAATTGAGGAGAGAAGAAGAAGGTGAAGAAGAGAATTTCATCTCTTTCGTTCTGTTATCTTTTTATTGTCGTGTTAGTAGTATAACAGAAAGACACAGTTATCATTTCATTTGTAAGGTTTCTTTCTCTCCCACTTTTTTCCCCATATTCATATTTAAATTATGAAGAACGAAAATTAAATATTTTCAATCTATATAAAACTTCTTATCACGATTAACCTAATTAAATAAACAAATCTTAGGAAAAATTAGCAAAGGTTTACATACACCTTGCCTTTACATGTGAATGGATAGGTTTCTAGTTAGGCAGAGAGAGATGAATTGATACATGCATAAAAAGGAGAATCGCATATACAAACAATTAAATTACAAACAGAAGAGGTAATAATTTCGAAACTGATGTAAAGTGTAATCAAAATAAAGATATGTTAGGGAAATAAATTCAGGTATTCAAAATAGTATTGTTGAGTCAAGGCAAATATCATACTTTTCTATTATTGAATCTTGATCGAATCCTATTGATCAAGCTGTAATATGGTCTGCGAGTTATGTGATTCGATATCCGGATCAAGTTATCCAATTATATTAGATAATGATCCTTGCTAATCGGTGTTAAGTGTTTAATCCAGATATTGTTCTAATGATCTGATAATAACTAAATTATTTAGAATATAACTTAATTTACTGATAAAGAAACAATTTCATATAACTCATAAAAAGGAAGTCATATTCGTAGAAATCTTGGTGATTAAACTTAATTATTGTTTCATATCAATCGTAAACCTGCAAAATTTATTTAGAGAACGGAGAAAGTATGGTAGGTACTACTGAACATTCAGTTTAAAAAAAGGATAAATGAAATGGGATTTATTTGAATTTCAATAGCTTTTATCTATTCAGTTACGAAAAGATATTATTGGTTAAGACACTATTTCATAGAGCAGAAAGAATATGTACGGCCAGTACACTAAAGTAAGAACTAACGAATGTCAAAAATTGTTTAAGGAACAACGAATATCAAAAGAAATTCACCAAGAAATACGGAAAGCGTAAAGATTAAAAGAAGCCTTAAGAAACTACATTAGTCAAACTTAAAGGTGATGATGTTAGGAGGAGAATCAACCGAAAACTAAAAACCTCTTTGACATGAACATATCTTGCAGCTAAATTGTTCATTTTGTTCAAAACAACATATTCTTTAACACAGTTAAATGTTGACAGGTACTCTCTTCATGTTACTGTCAACTGTGTATACAAATTCACATACATCTGTCAAAGCAGATACTTTGGTAGAACAGAAAGAACAATCTATGTCCAATCTAAAGAATATGTTCCAAAAAGTCTAAGATCCTGTAGACTAAAAGCATTCAACAGTGAGATCTTGAGACATCTTCATACAGGATATCAAGTGGATAAATTGAAATCTTTCAAAGTGATTAACAAGCAATCAGGTCCTCATCCTATGAAATTCGCCCGAAGCTATACCCATCAAATATCTGAAACCGAATTTATGTG